GGGAGAGCGATGGGGGATGGATATGATCAAAATATAAGCATGTATGAAAATATCACACTGAAACCCAGTATCAAGCCAAGTATGGTAATACACATCTGTAAAACCAGCACTCTGGGAGGCTGAGGAAGGAGGATCACAAGTTTGAGTCAAGCCTGGGCAACTTAGAGAGTCTCTGTCCCAAAATAAAAAATAAAAAAGGGCCGAGGATTTGGTTTAGTGAAAAGGGTCTAGATTCAATCTTCAATATCTCACAAAAAGGAAAACCAATATTTTGTAAATTAATAGATATAAATCAAAAATGTATTTAAGAAGGAGAATTTAGGTTGAGTGAAATATAAACTAAGGAAACAAACAAAAAAGCAGTGAACATCAGTAGCTAGTACAGACTCACTAAAAACCTTTGTCTAACATCACCCCCACCTTTAACAGGGTACCTCCACCAGAATGTCAAGGGAAGCCTTAGATAAAAATCACTTCTGGGAAGAGTTGGGGACTGAAAGGTCATTTTGAACAAAACAGAAAAATGGGTCTAATGATGGTGGCTAAATGGTTTCAAAAGTGGTTGATCCATTAAAGCTAGGTTTAATTTTTTTAGAAATTTAATAAAACTTTTCAATTTTTAAGAATGAATCTAAATTCACTGAGTTTAAGGGAGGGGAAACCCCACATTGAACTCACTCGAAGTATTTATTGAGTTTAAGAAAAAACCCACTCTCTGTGGTCAGTACATATTTTCAGTAGCAGTGAATATGATACTTTCACTCCATTGCCATTTCCCAGTCCTGCTGCAGCAGGACCTCTCCCAGATGTACTCTGAGTTGCCTTTCACTCAAGCCTCACGGGAATCGAACCCTGCTCCCTTGGTGTGCTGAGGTAGAAGACATCTGGGCTTTTAAAGAACTTTTTAAAAGATATATTCTCTACTGTTTACAAAGAAAGTACTTTCTTATAAGTAAAACAATCCCCGTATATGAAAATCTTTTGTAGATTTGGGGGTTGTGTCATGCAGGGTCTTTGGGCTGAGAAAAATGAGGAGTAACCAAAAGCAGCAGGACTTGCAAAGGAAAATGAGCTACAATTTTCTTTTTGCTTTTGCCCCACTTACACTTGTACCAAACAATAACAAAAACTCCACTCTTAACAATTTATAATACAGGATAGAATTTGACGCAGAATGTTTTTGCTTAAGGCAAAGGGGGCTGTGGGAAACCACAGAAATCTGTAGTACTTCTGTGTCAATTTATAAAGTATATTTTGCAACACCAGAAAATGGGTGTTGCTATCAATCCTATTTTTCACAGACCTGTGCAGCTCATGGTTAGGCAGACTCAGAACCTAAATTCAAACCCTTCAATTTCAAACAACCTGTTCCTGCTCCAGACCAGTCCCACATGGGAGCACAACCTCACACCTGATCCCACAGCTTCAGACTGCTGGGCAAGGAGGGAAGAGTGGAGCAAAAGCAGACACATCTCTGCATTGCCTGAGGGGATTATATGACAGTAGTTCTGGTGGAACAGGATGAACAGGTCAGGAAAGTGTGAGAGCAAAAGTGACTCCATTTTGCTAATGTGAGACCAGAATGACTCCATTTTGTCCAAAATGGAGCAGTCTCCTTTGTTCTTTCAAATTAATGATTAAATGTGCTTAATCTGGGACAAAAGACATGATCTGTAACTCAAGATTCCTAAGCTCATTACTCAGCCATCTGTTTGCCCTAGAAACAAGTGTCCCGGGCCCACTATCTATAGGACAATCTGTTAACATGCTGACTATCCACACAAGGTGGTCATGACCATTAGTCAAGATGTCTGATGACCATCAGTACATGACAGTACACCACTAACCTTTGTCCCCATTTGTCTTGTAAAAACCTATATGTAATCCCCTTCAACCCCCAATGAGCCTAGCCAATCAAAATTCTACACTTCATACTTGCTAAATGTTAACCAATCATATGGCTGCTAATGACCAAAGCTTGTTGTAATCTCAATAAAAATCTTGCTAATTTGGAACTCGGGGCTCTCAATCTCGATCCGCTGTGTCGGTGACAATTGAGAGTCCCTGCTTAAGCTTGAATAAATGACCCTTGTGTGCTTACATCGGAAACGGCCTCCTGGTGGTCTTTGGGACTTCGTAATCTGGGCACAACAAAAGCCAGCAAAACTGGATTAAAGAGCACATAAATCAAGCAGAACAACATCAAGACTGGCCTGAAAGCCAAGTTTTCTGTCCCTGTTTTGTTATAAACACTTCTACCCACTGGAAGAAGAAGGCAGGGGAAGCAGCTCTAGTTATCATTTCATTCCATCACTGCCCTACATTATGAACATTACAGATCTCTACCAATCTTATCTGTCATGCAAAGCCATCAATTATCTTCCCCTTGGTTACCTGAAAGTATTGCATTCATTCATTTGATGTGCCAGACCTGCATTAGAGGCCAAGACAGCAGTGGGAAAGAAAAACCCTGCCCTCAATTTGCTGACATTCAATGCAGAGCACGGTGGAAGACTCATGACTCCAAAGTTAAACTGAACTTCAGAAGTAAGCCCACCTGGAGAAGATGGGGGAGCTTGCCCACCTCAAATGTTTCCAAATTAGGGATCAGAGTCCTGGGCAGGGAGCTGAGTTTGCATTCTCAGAATGTGTTAATGCCCAATAAAGGTGTAAATTGAGGAAGTAATGAATGCTATGAGAGTAAATGATAATTTTCTCTTAGAAAGTAGGCAACTCCATCTTCAAAAACAAAGTCTGTAACCAAAGAATAATCAAATAGTTCTAGATAAAAGACAGAGTTTGAGCCCTCACTGTCATGCTAGGGGTAGGTGGCTGCTGATCTGTGAAATGTTTGAACAGGAATGCTGCTTCTTTATTCCCTTCTAAGAGCCTATTCAAAATGCACAGCTTTCAGTTTTACAGAAATCCATGTTCTAGCACAGGGACAGGCAAAGTTTTTATTTTCCGTAAAAGGAAAGAAGTAAATATTTTCTCTTCAAACTATACAATCTCTATCTCAGTGACTCAATTCTGTTTTTGTTTATAAAAATGGAGCCATAGTCAATATTAAACAAATGGGTGCAACTATGTTCCCCACAGATACCAAAATCCATAGATGCCCAAATCCGTTATATAAAATGACATAATATTTGCATATAACCCACAGACATTCTCCCCATACTTTGTCATCTCTATACTACTTATATTGCCGAATACAATGTAAATATTTTACTGTATTGCTTAGTGAATGACATTTTTAAAACATGTGTATGTGTTCAATACAGGCACAATTTTTTCCTGAATATTTATAGTCCATGGTTGGTTGAGTCTGTGGATATGGAAATTAAGGACCCAGAAATCTGACTACATCTATAAATCAGACTTTGGCCAGGAAATGTTTGTTCTAGTCCCATGAAAAGGCACATTGTGGGACATCAATAAGTCTCCCAAGATCTCTCTTCTCTTTGTTTCCTCATGACCCCAAAGGGATCCTAGTCGAGTTACAATGTGTCCCCTACACGAACTGGCTCCTAGAGGGTAGACAGGGCTGATAAGTATGACCTGAGCTGTGGATGAAATAGGAGGAAAACAGGGCTTGGCTTTCTAGTTAACTAACTACCTGTGTGCAGAGTCGAAAATATATAGGATTGAAAACAAAATCTGTTCTAGTTTTCTGGTTTTTATTCTTTAATGTCTCAGAGCCTCAAGGAGAACACATTTCCCGAGAGGCCCACCGTCAAGGTGTTCTATAACTTCTTCTTACCCTCATCTTGATGTGAATCCTACAAACTGCCGTAATTCTAGCTCATACCCTTATCTTCCCCCTCCACTAATTCACAATATGCCAAGAGCCCAGTAACAAAAAGTGTTTGCATTGTAACAAAAGCAAATCAATATTTGCAATATGCAATTACTATGAAAATAAAATCACTGTTCATAATCCCCAAAGAAATGTGTGTCAAAAAGCCCACAGAACTCTTATTTCTGAATGCATGTGTTCTGCAAGGTCATGGAAGAGCATCCTGTCTGATCCCATGTGTTCACCTCAACCAGGAAGCTGTGCAGGATGGCTATTTACCATAGGGTGGGCACCTACCACCGAGCAAGCAATGATGATAAATAACATCTGTGAAAGCAGCAACAGAAAAACATATTTTCTTGAACATTATCTAGTTGTGAAAAAAATAAAAGCACTTCCTAAAATGAGATCTACCTGAATCATCCAATAGTACATAGAACAAAGCTGGAGTCTGGACACAGGCTGAAGGCAAATCAGCCATCCCAAGGGGAAAAAGAAAGCATCCAATGTTTCTTAGAAACAAAGAGAATTGAGCCTGAATTTGAAGTTAAATATGACCCACAAAATTGAGTTTATGTAATCACTAAGTTTTCATGAAGTAGTGTAATATTTTAGTAATAATTTAATTTTTAATAAAAATATTATTACCCAAAATAGTTTAGTAGAGTTTCAATACTAGATTTCTTCAAAACCCCTGGGGAAAGAAACATACTAGTATATACTATAACAAACTTTGAGCTATGTCAAAGATATCTAAAACCTAGTAAAGGACACTATGATGGGTGTGTTAGTTACTTTTGTCTCCTTGTTGAGACAAAATACCAGGCACCAAAAGTTAAAGGGGAAAGGTTTATTTGGCTTACAGTTGGTAGAGGTTTCAGTCCATAATTGGCTGACTCCAAGACAGGGATGGCAAACAGGCATGCCAGAGCAGAAACAACATGGCACGCACAAGGCAGCAAAGGCAACAAGGAGCGTTACCAGCATCTTTCTGCCCCTTTTATCTTATTCAGGCTACTTAGGACTGGTAGCACTCACACCTTTAATCCTAGTGCCTTTGAGCCTAGCATTGCATCATGAATCAATTCTAGTTTCATATACTCTAGATCAAGCCTATGACCACCTGAGGCTTTGGGGGGACATCTAGACCCAAACCATAACAATGGGCATAATTTTAAAAGTATAAATAAAATAAACTTACCTGTTGAGTTTTAGATGAGATTTGATCACTAGCTGAAGTTTTTCTGTGGTTGTGTACATTCCATTCTTTAAAGCCCTCAGATTTGTTGTGAACCACTGAACAGTAAGTAAAGTGGAAAAAGATTTTATAATAACAACATTGACACTATGACATCTAAATCAATATTTTATATGTACCAAATTGCTATAGAAGCAAGTTATTAAGTATCAACGCTTTTTGTCGTTTTTGGAAAAGCCTTAATTCTGTCTTTTGCCTCCATGGTCTACTCTGGAATTATTTAGACACTCTGATAACAGACTTTTCAGGGCCAAAATTACCCAATGGCCATTCATTGTGAGTGAACCTTTCAGTTGGGAGGGTGAGTCATGGACTCTTGTTCATCTCTAGCTGATACGAATTCAGCTGGTGCTTTTATCAGGCATCGACACACCCTAAGAACACAAATGCAGTTCCCTCCCTGTGCCCAAGACACCCACGAGAGCTAAAACATAAACTTGTTCCTGGGTGAAAACCATAAATTCCAATCTTTCTTACCTCTGAAAATAGAAAAGAGAGAGGACACAGACAGACATGGTTTGACAAATTCTTCCTTCGTAGCAGCTTTTCTTACCAAAGAAGCTACCTCCTAAAAGCTGTCACTCTGCAAGCTACACGGAAGAAAAAAACACCTCTGCCCTACAAAAATCTCCCTCCTAGTCCAGTAGTGGGGAGGTGAAAAGAAATACCGAACGCAAATGCTGAATCGCTGCCGCCTTCATTCCTTACGATCTGAAAGACTCCACTGCACCTCTAAGGTTTCTTTTTAAAAGCCTTGTGTGTTGGTTGAGACCCCACTTCTGAATCACACAGCCCTAACCCCTGGGGTTTCCTGGGGGAGGGGGACTTTTCCCAGTACTTTCCTTCCCTTCCGATGGTCTATATTCTTTCCAATCCCTCCCCTTCAGCATACTCCTGCAATTCGGGCCCTAGGCCCTAGGCCACAGCCTCGAGATCGCTTTGGAGCCAGGCCTGCTTGAGGTCCACCAATACCGTATCACGGTCCCTGTCTTCTCCCTAGCCGCAGCGACAAACGCGTCCCGGGCCGCTGGGGCTCTAGCGGCGTCTGTAGCTGCACCGGACGCCGGGGAGGCAGGGACGACGCGCCCGGCCAAGGCAGGGTGGGCGACAAGCAGGGAAGCCTGGGCCTCGAGCCCCGTGGCTCCTCCGAGTTTCCCACAGCTCCTCCAGTCCCCTTGTCCCGCCCACAAGACAGGCGGCTGCCCATCAGTGACCCAAGCCGCAGGGCGTGGTGGCTCGCGGCACAACCTGCTGGCTCCCTGCCTAGCAACCTGGATCTCGGTGTTTCCAGCTCGGTGCATCCACAGAACATCCAGTCCCACGCACGCCTGCAGGCTGGCCCAAACCTCTACAGTCTCCCAGTCACCTCCGGGAACACTCACCTCCCGAGCGGGCCTCGTAAGCGGACGGACAACGCTCCACCCCGGCACGCTCCCCCAGCCTCCCGCCGCAGCACGCACGCTCCGGCGCGCGCAGACCACGCTCGGGGGACCCTGCTGGCGCCCCTTGCTGGCGAGCGAGGTCCAGCCACCCCCCAGCCCTGTGCTAGGCTTGGCGCTTTCTCTCCATTCTTGCCATCACCTTCCTTCCAAACAAGTTGTCAAGTTGTGCCCACATTTAGTGTTTGAGGTGGCAGAGGTTTGGCGCCTTAATGCTAGGATTTGTTTAATATTTGCATTCCTCCCATGCCATTGTTCCAAGCTTGCCATTGTTCAAAGAATTTGCTTGTTGAACTCTACACAGAGCGGATTAGAAAAGAAAAAATTGTGGCAGTGCCCTAAGGGTGTGACTGCCCTTCGAAGTTTGCATCTCACCTCACTCTGCCCTAGGTGCTGGACATGGAGCTTCAGGATATAATGTTTGCCCTGCTGGGTTTCTGTCTTTCTTTGGCCCAATTCCTTTCTGTACCTTTTTTTTCTCCCCTTTGGAATGGGATTGTTTACTCTGTGCCATTCATTATGTGTTGGAAGTATTTAATTTTCATTTTGATTTTTTACAGGGGCTCACAGCTGAAAGTTTGCCTTGAATCTGAGAGGAAACTTTGAATTTGGTCTTTTCAGCAATACTGGAGCTGTTGTGACTGTGGCAACTCTTAGTAATGGACTAAATGCGTTTTGCATAATAAGATGGGGGCTCAGGGTGGAATATTATGGTTTACTTCTAAAATGTTACCCAAAAGTCTCCTGTTCAGAGGTGGGACCTTTGGAGGGTTATTGGATCATGGAGGCACTATACTCATCAGTAGATTCATCCACTGAAGAATTCAAGAGTTGGATGTTCTGTTAGGAGGTGGAACCTGGTTTGAGGTCATCACTGGGGATGGGACCTGGGACAGTGTATTCTTGTCCCTGGCTCCTCATTTCAAGCTCTGCTTCCTGGATGCCACAATGGTGAGCAACCATCTCCTGCCAAACCCTTCTACCATACCATTCTGCCTTAGAGCTAACCAACCATGGGGTGAATCACCTGAAAACTATGAGCCAAAATAAAACTGTTCTCTTGGAAGTTGCAGGTGTTGGGCATTTTGTGCCAGCAACAGGCAAGCACTAATATAGCATACCTAGTCTAATTGCCCACATCCATTTTAATAACAGATATAAATGAAGAATATGTCATTCATTGTGTAATCTTTGCCTTTGGTCATCTGGTCTCTGATTTATATCATAAATATGTGTGGATGTACAAGGTAAGCTTTTCTATATCCACTTAAGTGCATAAGCTCTGCTTGACAAGAGGAATTTGGTCAACTTTACTTGATAATAATATCCATCCTAGGGCCGGGATTTAGCTCAGTAGTTTCTCCACCTGCCTCACTAATGCAAGGTCCTGAGTTCGATCCCTGGTCCCCCCCCCCAAAATATATATATTTATATATGGATATATATATCCATCCTGTCTTCCAAAAGAGAACTCTCAATGGGCATCTTCTATTCCACAGGCAAATGTAGTATTTAAATATCCTGTATCCTCACTTCTGAAAAGACTGCATTTTCCAATGAGTCAGTCCAAGTATGATCAAGGGACCCTTTCTAGATCAGGGAGGTCTGAAGAGGGGCCCTTGAGCAGCTTCTTTTGCAGCTGTGTCAGCCAGTTAATTAACTTGAGATATTTTGTCAACTCCTTTTTGGTGCACTCAAATAATGAATTATTGCTACTTTGGAGGGGATATAGATGGATAAGAAAGGTTCATCTGTCTCCTTATAATACTTTATGAGAGATCCCCTGGCTGTCAGAATATTTCTTTCTTTCCATATGGCTGCATGAGCTTGCAGAACTAGAAAAGCATACTTTGAATCAGTACAAATATTGACTTTCTGTCCTTTACTGAGTTATAAAGCCCTTGTCAGAGCTATGAGTTCTGCTAGCTGGGCGCTAGTCCCATGGGAAAGTGAGGAACTTTCAAGTGTCTGATGTAGAGTCACTATTGCATACCCTGTCTTTTTCATCTCATTTTCCTTGAAGGAACTGCTATCACAGAAGAGGGTTAATAAGGGATGTGTCTAACAAGTCTTCTCTGGCAGCAAGAGGTTACCTCCAGAGATAGAGGCAAGTAATGGCTGGCAAAAATCCTGCCCTGTGCCCTAGGAAAAGAAGTCCCTAAGACATTTGTGATGTCTACCTAATCACCTAGGCAATCTTCCTTAGCAGCAAGACAAGACTAAGTTTTATTCAAAGTCTACTTTAAAATTTCTGTCTGTATATCTGCAACACACTTATGAAACTCATAGGTTAAAATTTATACCCATCATTCAGCAACCACAACTTGCATATTAGTGAAAGTACTTTGCTCCCCTACACACATAAATGATGAGAATCAGACCTAGAAGGGAAGAGAAAGAGCCAAGAGGTTGGAAACTCCCCCTTAACTGCATGTGTTTCTCATCTAAGGTGATTTCCCTACCTTCAGCATTAGCACACGCTCATTTTCTATGGGCTCAACTTAAACTTCTTAGTTGTTGGACAGGAGGGGAAAGGTTGAAGGTTCAGTGTTTCTCCCTCTCTAATCTTTAGCAGAAACATGACTTCAAAAAGGAAAGTACAAAATGACAGGAAAAGATCAAAAATGAGATTAGAAAAAAGAAGTCTTTTCTGCTCAACCTCGTGGTCAGTTATTGAGACTATTTGCCCGTGAGTCATCACTCTCAGGCTGGAAAGGTAAGAATGAAGAATCTCAAGAGATAAGATTGCCTTCTCACCAGTGGAAGATATACACCTGAAAGAAATTGAGGCAGAACAGGCTTGACATTCCCCTCTAGAGTACAGAGTGACGATCAGGCCAGACTGTCCCAGTAAAACCTGTCCTCCAAGTCTTAAGAACAGTTGCCAGCCTATCACCATTTAACTGACAATTAGAGTCCTATGATTTAGTAATAGATGTGTATATTTCCTAAATACAAACTAGATTTCATAAAGAGGGCATTTTATAACATTTCATAAATTTACATTTTGGTTAGTATCAAAGTCCACTAGGGACTTTAACATTACTTTCTCTTAGAGCTGATGTCTAAGATAACCACAAAAGTCAAAACAAGTCAAACAAGTCAAGCAAGGAACTCCAATAAATTCAGCAACTAGTAAGTCCAAATGCAGCATATACAAAACAGGAATACAAGACCTTGCCTACAAAAGTAAAATGTTCCATCAAAGAAACATCATAATCTTCCCATGTTCTCAATTTAAATTTATTATTTTAACAACAAAACAATGCATTAAAAAAAAGACAAGGCATAAAATTCAAGATGTAAGCAACTGACAAATAAGGATGACAATGACAATCTCTGGTTACCTAAATGAATCACAATCCAGAATCCATAAAACAAAAGCAAATCCCCTTACAATTATCTTCCTGGGCCCTCCAAATGATATAGGGGATAAATGTAACTCCCAACCTGCTTGATGTCAGATATGCAGAGTTTGTGTTCCCCAAAATGGAAAAATGAATTCTAAAGAACAATGGAAGTTAAGAGTAGGAAATATTTATTGAGAAACAGCCCTTGAGAGACAGGAGGGGACCCAAAAGTGAGTTGCCAATGAGCCTACTTCTCAAAGGAAGTTTTTTTTCATTAAGTTTATTGGTACATTTTAGGTATAAAATACAGCTATATTCATCATTGGGATCTTGTACCTTTACGTGACATATCTTGGTTCTTATTTTTTCCCCATTCCCCTGCCCTCTCTTCAACCCCTCCACCCTTCCCTATTTACAAAGACTTTGTTTCCGTTTTTTTCCTTTTCTCATATTTTTCTTTTCCCTTCTTTCCTTCCCCTACCCCTCCCACTTCCCCTACTCTTTTAGACCTTTTCTTCTTATTACATAATATCAATCATACATTTTTTAAAATTACAATATCAAGATTTAGAGGATATTACCACAGATTTTACAGAATTTAAAAGGATATTGAAAGCATATTATAAAAATATTTTTTGAAATAAATTTAACAACGTCTATGAACTAACTTGGAAAACAAATTAATGAAACTGACTCTGGAAGAAATATAAAATTTGAATAGCACCTATAAGACAAAGAATATTCCCATCTTGAAAACCTACCTATATGACAGCAACAGGTTCATATACATTTTAACTGATGAATTATATCAAACATTTAAAGCAGAAAAAAAGAAGAAACACTTTTCTCCTCATTTTAAGAAATCAACATTGTGCTAATACTAAAAATGGATAAAGATAATAGAAGAAAAGAGTATGAACATAGATAAAAATTTGTTTAACAAAACAAGCTATTAGAAGTCAGACCTGGCAGTATGTAGAATGTGGTTTTATTATACAGATGGCAGTGTTGGTTCAGCATTGAAAGAT